GGGACAAGGGCTGAAAGTGATTGTGCAGCCTTCAAGATCTTAGAGAGGATTTCTGCGTCATCCTCAGTGTGTGAGAAAGCAATCAGGCAGCTATAATCAGGAGAATGACAAGACCAGCTTTTTGTTTTAAGAAGACCAATCAGAAAGGAGTACAGAGAAATAATTGGAGAAGACATTTTTTTTTTTTTTAAGAGGCAGGTGATTAGACACCTTTTCAGTCATCCCACCAAAGAAGGAGACAATTTTAGACTAGAGCAATTGCTCCCCTCCAGAGCTGATTTTCTCCCCCAGGTAATTTTGAGAAGTATTCTTAATTCCATAATTTGGAGGAGGAGGTATGCTACTGGCATCTAGTAGGTAGGAACCAAGGATTTTGCCAAATACCTTACAATGTACAGGATATTGCCCCATGACACAGAAGTATCCAGACCCAAATGCCTGTGGTGCAAGGGTGGAAAAATTTGGACTAGAGGGAAGAGGATTGTGTAGAAATAAGATATATTTGGAAAACAGAATGGATGATGTTTAAGATAGATTGCATATGTTAGAAGGATTCCAAGGTTTCTAAAGTAAACAATCAGATGGGTGGAAATGTTGCTTTAACGATGAGAAAAATTTTTTATTTTCCTATGGAAGAGCTAATGCCTAATTGTATATACATAAAAGCTTGTCACTCTTATAAAACCTCCGAATGGAAATGGCAAGGAAGTAGTTGGCTAGTAGCTCTAGAATTTAAAAAAAAAAAAAAAGAAAGAAAGAAAATGTATGGACTGAAAATATAAATTTGCATATTTGAATGTCACAGAAAATAGATGATGTTTTAAGCCTTGGAGGCAGCCTTGCCTCCTCTACAGAGAGAATATGTCCGAAGAACAACCTCAAGTCTTAAGGAAAATTATGAACAAACAGGAACCCAAGTAAATGTAACAAGGAATTAGGTGAAGATTGAATAGAAGGCCAGGACTGTAGTGTTATGGAAGCCCACGGGTGAACATGTTTCAAAATTAACACAGTCACTTGTGTTGAATGTGGTAAAAACATTTGCGTGGGATCATCCTAACAATGTCCATTGTATCAGGCAGAATCAAGCGCACTGATGACCTCATTAAGTAACTTTGGAATAGTGTTAAGTGCAAGGTGGTTATGGAAAGAGAATGAGAAGTGAGATGAGAAGCTGCACAACTCTGCAGAGAATTCTTACTTATATAGTAAGAAGAGCTATAAGAAAATGGGGGGAAATGGTTCTATTTAAAATACTTGGTTGGAGGAAGATGGAGCATGTCTGTAAGGCTGAGAAAAAAGAGCATTTAGAATGGATGAGAATGAAGCAATTGGAAAGAGACAGATAGTAATTGTGGAAGGAAGGTGATTTGCTTGGAGTGGGGATGAGGGACAAAGATTAAGGATCATCTCGAGCACTCACATGTTTGGTGAGAGATTTTATTTTGTAGAATAAACATACTGATCCAGTGTGAGCAAGGCAGATATGGCATCTCAAATGAGACATTTAAAATAGGAAATTAGGAAAAACTAAGCACAAGAGCATATACAAATATAAAATTCATGACAGAAGGCTGTGTTTATGGAAAAACAAAGTGAAAGGGTAGAAACCTATCTTTTAAGGTTTATGTGTAGGAACACATTGGACTACAGAGCCTGAGGCCTGGATTCCAATCCCAAGGACACAGCTGTCTGGCCACATAACAGTTTCCTCAAAGGAAAAATTATTATTCTATGCTATACTTACAACTCCAGCCAAGTCAGAAACATGTTATGAAGCTTTAGTGTGACATTCAGGAAAGCTTTCAGACCAAGACAGCTTCACAAAGAGGTGACGTGAAGGAATGCAATGTATTTTGACAAAATGTCCTAATTTATTGAGTATATAGACATAGCATTTGACCTATCTCAAAGTTTGTGGGTGTATATATGTATATGGCAACATCCATAATAAATATATTTAAATGTGTTGAAATTCTCAGATGAATGTTTTCTAATTTATTTAATAAAGAAATGGTTTTCCATATTTCAACCTAGATAAAATAGGTGGCCTATTAAATTATTTCAGAAAAGATACTACTACTCTCTATTTTTAGAATAGTATTCAAAGTTCCAGAAAGAATGCATGGACATTTTTAATTTTTAAAAATCATGGATTTTTTTGTTTTTATTAAAAGTATTCAAAGTCAGAGAAATTTTAAAATATCTGACATTAATAGTAGCTACAGTACACCAATTGACATCTCCTACATAAAATAACACTGATTTGCCTGCAGGAATGGAAGAAAACTAATTAAAATACTCTGGTGCCACAGTGACTCAGGAAATTGGTAGATGGTTGATCAGGATGGAGAACTGGCGCTGAGAGAAATGTTTGGCGCATGTGTGTGTGTTTAGTGTCTGTGATACAATGACAGAAGCCATAATTAAAATACTACTGCAGTGTGACATTATCCCCGACTTCTGGCTAAACTAATTGGCCACCCCTTTCCACTTATGATTTCTTTGATCCCATTGTTTTCTGTGATGGGAAAACAACAAGCACACATTTCCAGTGTAAGAACTACGCCCCATAATAACACCACGATTTCTGACCTCTCTATCTTCTAGGTGGCTCCATAGTTTCAAAGACCCTGGATTACTGGTTATGATTAACTTGAGGATGAGATCTAATTAAGAGAGACATTGTTTATATTCCTTTAATATTTCATTAAGTGGAACTTGAAAGAAATGAAGTCAAAATAAAAAGTTAATGATCTGATTTATTCATTTTTAAATAATTGATAAGTGCCCACTACGATGTGCCAAACACTGGGTCAAAGAGCACTGCCTCTGACCCTGCAGGACCTTGGGCGCTGCGCTCTCCTGACTCGGGGGAGAGCCCTGCACGCTGAAGGCTGCTCACCCTGCACGGTCTGCTTCAAAGACGTTGCTTACAGTTCCCGTGTGTGTGTGTGTGTGTGTGTGTGTGTGTGTCTTAGCAAGATGGACTCATTTATAAAATACTGAGATTCTTGTCCCTGATGAGCTAAAGCCTTGTGGAGGTGAACACCTGCTGGATGGGAGGAGTTTGATTTTGGCCTTGAGGGATGAGAACTATCAATCTAAACCGAAACTCAGAGAGACAGGCTTTCCGGAACAAATGAGTTTATTTGGGAACAGTAGGAAATTACAGTTCAGGGGATGCGAGTTACAATGAATCATAGGCATATCTGAGGGGGCTGAGCAAAGCGGAAGCTTATAGAGACAAAGAGAAGAAGTCCATACACTGCACAGAGAGAAGATTCACAGGGCACGAGCCGATTGGCGGAGCTGACGTTTATTCCTTGGTGGGGACAGCCTCAGGCTGGATAAGTGTTCTGCAAGCACCTCACGGAGACTACAGCAATTTTGAAGATGCTCTTGGGATAAAGCCTATTGTAATACAAGGATATGTGTTTAAGGGTTTCTTGTTCACTGCCTCCACTAACGCCATTTTGTTAGAGTTTGACAAAAGTGACTCTACTTAGGTAGCGCCAACTTTCAAGGGAGGATATGCAGCTCTGGGGAAAGAAGAAGGGAGCAATGCAGTTAGTAGAAATGTGTGAGCAAAGCAAAGGTGGTGCCAGGTAAGCACAGCGACAGGGGATTAGAAAAAACAATCAGCTACAAAACAGTTTGAAAAGATCAAATTACATAAATAGCTTTTTGCTTTCCAATTTCTAAAAGATGCTTTAAGGCAGAAGTGGGATATATTAATAAGTGAAAAAGAAGGCATTTCTAATTCCAGGGCTTTTTTTCATACCATTGATTTTTTTATAGTGTTAAAGATAACTTGAACTACTTGATATGTAGGGGAGCTTTTATGCCACTTTGTCTTTCTAGAAGAATGAGCAAAAGAGAAGCACAGCAGGAAGTGAAATGAATCACTCTCAAAGGTGCCAAATTTCTTACTCCCTACTGATTTGGCAAAGGTTAGCACAGTTATTAAAATTCAAGTTTTTGCAAATGTATTTCATTGGTAGTCAACTCACACAAGGTATACCAGTTTTTAGCAATTATTCCCATTGATAGTCTAAGTGTTTGCCAAGGAATTTTCTGCCTCACACTGAAGAATCCAATAACTCCATGGTGGATAAAACATGAGTCGCTTAACAATGATAAGATCAATGACAGGACAGAGGAGAAGCGGTAATAAACATCTCCATGGTAACTCTGAATGCTAAGAAAAAAATGATTAAGAAGTGGTGCCTTCATCGGTTGTATTTGGGGATTTCATAAAAGCAGTAAGAATACTGAGTTAGATACATCACATGAGATAGAATACCATCAAGTTGAAATGTTATTTTCTTCACCTGTATAGGCAAGTGTTCATGTTGTTCTAGGAGCAGAAATGAAAAGCTTCTCAAGTTGACCATATAGTAATGTGGTACCTGCCAGTTCTAAGGACATCAGTTATGACATGGGGTCCATGACTTGTCTGATCTACTCCTAAAGGTTGCATAACTTCTTTAAGCCTCCATGGCCTCATTCCTTATTTGTTTATAGCAATTCTTATCTCATAAGATTGTTGCAAATTATAAATCAGACCACACTTTCAAAAGTGCTACATATAATAAGTGCTCAATAAAACGTACTTAAATAGTTGGGGATGGGTGGGTACTGATGACTGTGAAGAGTGCATTGCTGGTAAGAATTCACATACTCATGCTCAAAATACCCATAGTCAAGCTCCTTGACAAGGTGGGGACACTAGACGCATCATGACAAATGTTCTGAAAGCAAACCACACCTTACTTCTGAAAAAAAAGACATAAGATAGAAAGAAATGAATGTCTGCTATAAACCAGAATGATTAAACAGCTGTTAGGCGCACATGAATGTGTTCAATTATAATTACACCCTGGATTAATTAGTCATTTCATGAAGAATGGGCAGAGTCTCCAATATTACATCACACCTGCCAGAGTGAGGGTATATAAACACCACTGGGTGCAGGTAGGGATATTAGAGCATCCTCTCAGCATAGCTCAGCTGAACTCACATCTCCCGTCAACATGCCCTACAACTGCCGCCCTGGAAGCTTCTCCTCCCGCTCCTGTGGGGGCTACCTGCGCCAACCAGGCGCCTCCTGTGGCCCTACCTACCCCAGCAACCTGGTCTACAGCACTGACCTCTGCTCTCCCAGCACCTGCCAGCTGGACTCCTCCCTCTACACCGGCTGTCAGGAGACCTGCTGTGAGCCCACCAGCTGCCAGACGTCCTGTGTGCCATCCAGCCCCTGCCAGACGCCCTGCTACCGCCCAAGGACCTCCTTGCTCTGCAGTCCCTGCCAGACAACTTACCCTGGATCTCTGGGCTTTGGGTCCAGCAGCTGCTACTCCCTGGGCTGTGGGTCCAGTGGCTTCAGACCCCTGGGTTATGGAGGCTGTGGCTTCCCTCCCTTAGGCTACGGATATGGATTCTGCCGCCCATCCTACCTGGCTTCTAGGAGCTGCCAGTCTTCTTGTTACAGACCAACCTGTGGATCTGGCTTCTACCGATCAACTTGTTAAGAGCTCCTGACCTTAACTTTGCAGTTATTTCAAAGTCAATCTCAGCTATCATCTGGCTAGAGTCTAATTCTACTACCTACGAGGGTGATAATTTATTTTAAAATCCTATTAACACTACAATAATTTGTCTCATAGAATATCTATCTCTTTTTCTGTTTTCTTGAGTTTTCCCCCTTACCTATCCATTAAAAATGGAATAAGAGGTGATTCTTTTCTTCAAATAAACTCATTTAATCTGATATCAGATCACAAATCTTGCTGCTAATTTTATTTTTCATATATCTGTGGTGATTTGGGGATTTGCAAATCTACATTTCTTTGTCTAACAATGAAATATTTAATTTGAGGAATAGGAATAGTTTCTCAAAGATTCAAAGTTTTCTGACAAAGTGGAGTTAGTGCCTGGGTATTTCAGCCAAGTAGAATCAGAGCTTGTAAAGAGATTAACCTTGACTCTTCTATCCATGGTCATTTCAACCTAATCCAGACACTCACTTTGGTTAAACTAGTGATAGGTGTGGTCTAAGCAGGATAGTTCCAAGGATAGCAGTGACACTTCAACAATCACTACCCTGACTCTTTTCAGTGAGAGTCTTGTCAACATTCTTCCTGTGATCCTCCTTTCCAGACATATATAATCTACCATGGAATGCTAAGGTCATGACTTTAACTAATTGCAGTAGCTGGTATAATGAAACAAACATTTTAGGTATGGATGAAATTAAATATGTATGCATTCTCATATTATAAATGGAATATAATTTCTAAAGCTTATTTTTATATTGATCATTAACTCTCTCCTCTTTTTATTGAGTCACTATGAGGTCATCTCTTTTCATAAGAGATGTACCTGAGAACTACTTAAAACATAGCAGTGTCATGAGTAGGTGATCTGGACAGAGAGGGAAGACATTATATCTTGATATCCTGGGATTAGATCTGGATGTAATAGGTAGGCAGTCCATTACATTTTCTTATGAAGGAGAGTACAATCATCTAAATTTTCAAATATATCAGTGTAAATAAAAATATATAATATGTGAGTAGCTCTTTGGGCATTGTTCTCACAGTTGCTTTTCACTCCTCTCTTCCTCCTTAGGGTAATCGGATTTTGTTTGTGTATCCCTCATCTACACACAGTCCTGTAAATGAACATGACTATGCTCTAGTTTTTAAATTGAATCTGGCTAGTCTACAGCACCCGCATCCCAACTAAAAGTGATTGATTCAGGAATGAGCTTGTGATTTGACTTAAACCCATGAGAAATAAGGGGTGTTGTGGAGAGATGCTTCTGATGAAGTTCTCCAGTGGAGTTTCGTAAAGCAATCCTCTCTGCCTCTGGACTGCATCACCTGGGGATCCTGCATGATCATGGGTATGGCCTGACAATTAAACTTTCAAATGGAAGAGGCCAGAACCCCCAGAAATGCACATGAACTAAACCTGAACCATCTCACTTCTTCTGGATTTTGTTTTACATAAACTAAGAAAATTTCTTACTGGTTAATCAGTTTTGAATTAAAATTTCTATTATTTGTACCTGACATATTTCTAAATGAGATACTAACTTACAATCTTAAACGATCCCCTTCTCAGTGAAGTCTTCTTAATGTAATCTGGTGTTTTTTGTCGGGGGAAGGGGGAAGAGTCACATTTGTCATTCTGGGATTGAGTGTCTAGCATCATAGCTCACAGCAAACTCAAACTCCTGGGCTTAAGTGATCCTAGCGCCGTAGCTTCTGGAGGAGCTAAGACTATAGACACCCACCACAATACCTGGCTAAATGTTTTGGTGTTTTGTTTCTTTTTAATTAGAGATGGGATTTTGCTCTTGCTCAGGCGGATCTCAAAATTCTGAGCTCAGGTGATCCAACCACCTTGGCCTCCCAGAGTGCTGGGATTATAGGTGTGAGCTACCAGGCTTGTTCTACCTTAATGTAATCTTTAAGGTGTTTTACACCCGCTTCTTCCTTCTTCAGCCCCCTTCTCTCCATTCCTCTTCACCAACATACACTCAATCAATGTTACGAGCTCCCATTTCTTTGAACACATTATGCAGAGCTAAGCTTATAAAAAGCTAAGTACCTCTAGAAGAAATATCATCTCCATCCCACCCTTCAATGTTCACAATGATCTGATAGCTTCACTCACCCCTTTGAACTACACAGTTACCAGAGTTGATGATTCCCTACACAACTCTAACATTATAATACTTATATATTTTAATTGCAAAGTTTCTGCTTTTAATATTAAATTACAAATAATATTTTGATTAGCACTAATTTTTGTTTGTTATTGCACATCAATGGACAGAGCAGAATCTTGACTAACAGAATCTCACAGGTATGAAATACAGGCATAGCTCAGTGAGAGTGCACATTCCAGACAGCTGCAAAGACTTGAAGGTTATAATTACTCCTTGCTCCATGGCTGCAGAATGGCTGGATCGTGTTAGCAGGAACACAAGCATTAATTTTATTGTATATCTTCATTAAAGTTCTTGAGTGAATAAGTGCATTGTCAATAAGCAGTAATATTTTGAAAAGAATCTTTGGCTATAATTGGGTTATAGCTTTTATATGAAAGCTATAAATTGGTTTCATAGTAGGGCTGAGTACATTGGATACTTTTCTTCCATTCTTGAGATACTTTGCTAAGAAGAATATGTTCCAGCTCCATCCATGTGAACATGAAATAGGTAAAGTCTCCATCTTTCTTTGAGGGGTGTAGGGAGGGTAACTGGTGGGACCACACCTACGGTACATCTTACAAGGGTACATGTGAAATTTACTAAATGTAGAATATAAATGTCTTAACACGATAACTAAGAAAATGTCATAAAGGCTACGTTAACCACTTTGATGAAAACATTTCAAATTGTATATAAAACCAGCACATTATACCCCATGATCACATTAATGTACACAGCTATGATTTAATTAAAAAAAATCTTTTTTTTTTCTGAGCACATAGAAAATCATACAAGTATCAACAGTGGGCTTAAAATATTCAGAGAATCATGCTATAAACAGATAAGCTGTCATTGATCCTTTTGTTACATTTGTAGAAAATGGCAGAGTGGACTTAACATGAATCATAAGGGCCCTAGGGTTTTCAGAAAGGTCAATGGGCATTGGCTTCAACCTAAAGTCCGGCACTGCATTATCACGCAGCAGGAGAATCAGCCTGTTCTTCAGAGCTTTGAAGCCAGGCATTGACTTATCTTCTCTAGCTAGCAAGAGTCCTAGATGACATCTTCTTCCAGTAGAAGGCTGTTTCATCTACACCACAAGTTTGTTGGGCAGTGCAGCACTTTCCTCAGTGATCATAGCTAAATCTTTGTAATTTGCTTCAGTTTCTCTCCCAGCACTTGCTGCTTTATCTTCCTCTTTGAGGCTATGGAGATTTGTTTCTTTCCTTAAACTTCAGGATGAACCAACACCTGCCACCTTCACACATTTCTTCTGCAGCTTCCTCATATCTTGCAGCCTTCATACAGTTAAAAAAAGTAAAGGCTTTGCTCGGAATCAGGTTTTGGCATAATGAATGGAATGTTGTGGCTGGTTTGATCTTCTACCTAGACCACCAAAACATTCTCCATATCAACAATAAATCCTACCATTTGTATGTTCACTAAAGTAGCACTTTTACTTACTTTCTTTTAAAAACTTTTCCTCTGAGTTTACAACTTGGCTGACTGTTTGGGGCAAGAGGTCTAGTTTTTAGCCTATCTCAGCTTTCCCCAGGCCTTCCTCACTAAGCTTAATCATTTCCAAATTGGACTTAAAGGAAAAGATGTACAACTCTTTTTTACTAGCACACTTAGAGGCCCCTGGGTTAATTGGCCTAATTTTAATACCATTGCATCTCAGGGGTTAGAGACCTAAGAAGAGGGAGAGTGACAGGGAATGGCCACCAGAAAACTCACAATATTTATTAAGTTTGCTGTCTTACATGAGCACTGTCTGTGATGCCCCAAAACAATTACAGTAATAACATCTACGATCACTGATCATTGTAACAAATATAGTAATAATAATGAAATTGAAATATTCAGATAATTACCTGAATGTGGCACAGAGATACAAAGTAAGCACAGACTGCTGAGAAAGCAACACTCACAGACTTCTCATTGCAGGACTGCCACAAACATTCAATCTGTAAAATACTCATTATCTGTGAAGCATAATAAAGCAAAACACAATAAAATTAGGTATGCCCGTATGGAGGACAGGCTTGCCCCACAGGAATGCTTATATAAAACACTATTTACTCTTAATTTTTTAAATTGCCCCAAAGACAGCCTTACCACCAGTGACATAGATCCCCCCTGACAAAAACTTCAAACCTCTGGTGTTATACAAAGAACCTCTGGGGAGTCCTCAATGGCTGGGGCCTCTTGGCCTGGAGGCGGGGTTACACTGCTGTTTTATTGCTCATAGGCCCTCTCTGGATTCCAACCCATCTTGTAAAACTCTACTGTGAGCTGATAGCCAATGGAAGAAGAGAATTCAATTCCAGATGTGAGCCCTTTTGTGGAGTTTTCAAGAAACAATGATGACTGTTACTTCAATCAAGGAAATTCTAAACCTCCTCAGACTTTTTCACCTAATAAACATATTAATTTTATCTTATTAGAGGATGGTTCCGTTTAAGGCTCTTTCACTTAGAAAACAAAAAGAGGGGAGATGTTAGTAAAATTTATTACAGGAGGACATTCAAGAGGACTGGGGGAGAATGGCCCTTTGCCTTAGCTCCTGGCTGCTCAGCTGGCTTATAGTGTGGCCAGTGGGGGTGATATAGCATTCCAGTTCTCCAGAATAGACAGAAAACTAGTTTGGGGACATCTGAAATCCAGCAGCTTAGCAGAGACAGAATATCAGCAGAGTTAGAAGGGGATTAAAAATTACCTTGAGCTGAGACAATTTACTGCAACTGTTCCTTTTCCATCCCCTAAGGCAACTTTGTTTTTTACCTACTTAGTTCTGCCACGGAGAATTATTCTAT